TATATATTCGTCATCAGACTTATGTTGACAGAGCTCCATGTACTAGCATTTGTTTGCAAGAAATAGTGACTCACGAAAAGAAAAAAAATGCAGGCTGCCAAAAAATGCATAAATGAAGGAATTAGAGTGTTGTTGTGTTTATTACCTTCTACAATGTTTCATATATATAGCAACTTTACTCTCAATTGCTGATCCTTTATTTTACATTTTAGACCCCACAAAATAGAAAATGAATGCAAACTACGTAGAGCTGCTTCAATTCAAACAATAAAAAGAAGCCCAATAATGATGTTAGTTAGTATTAACTCCATAATAGCAAGCTCTCAAACAAAACGAAAGGAGGACCAAACTGCAGAAAATGCAGTAATGAAGGAACTGATGCATCATAATTTCATTCCAAGATAGTAAATAATTGATATTCTGCCATAAGAACTGGTGCATCATAATTCTATTACAAGATAGTAGCTCGACTAGGTAATCTCACGCAACTTATTTATGAGAAGGGCATTGGCAAACCTCTTGACCCTTTATGTGAACTGTAGAGGCACTACTATCAACCGATGCAACAATTTCAGCAGTTCAGACTCCCTGCACAAAGGTCAGTCAGCATCAACATGTTTACTTTACAAAACTGTTTCAAAAGCTGGTTTAGTAGCACAACCTTTGGTATGAAAATAAGAATCGGCACCCTGCATTGTTGCTTGAGAACGCCACATAGAGAATAATGAATAGCACAACTGGAATAACAAGGCTATTGCTGACAATAATGGACAGTCCACCAAGCTTTGGGAAAAATAGCAACTGCAATTGACCAAGAACAAATAACACCAAATTGTGCCCCTTTCTAAAACATCTTATTTGATTGCAGAGGAATCCATATCAGAAGGAATGATAAAAAAGGAACAAAGTTCAAGCCCTCTGCCCTATTTACAGATCTTGCTAGACAATGTTGCTGCTATATTAGGAGTTCAAAAATCAGACCAATGTTGAGAAGAGAATCGCACAATTAATTCCAAATAGTAGATGCGTGTATATAACCTCACGTAACAGTATTGCAAGCTTAACTTACTAACCCGCCTAAAATTCATGATTCGAAGGGCAAGTCTAGTTGATGCTTTTAATGAATAAAATTGTCTCATTTATACCAAAAAATCATAATTTCTTCATCATCTAATTAGTAATTGTTCATATCTCAGACACCTCTAGAACCTAGCAAAGTAGAACATACCTAATCGCAATATCCCCAAATCCAATCAGTCTCGAAAGGAATTATCCTTTCTCCTCTCCCTTTACCGATGTTTCAAGACACAGAACTCTCGGGAATTCAAACCACACAGCAAAATAGAGACCCTTCAACGGAGTATAAATTAAAACCTAGATATTATTGAATGAACTTACCAGGAGATCAGGAGATTATGTAAACGAGTTGATAGTCTTTCTATCCAGCGATAAATTGTTCGATGGATACAGAAAATAGCTGAAGATGCGTGTCGGTTCAGCTCCAAAGAGCGGGTGCTCTGTTCCTTTTTCTGGTCGGACGAAGAACAGGTATGAGAGCGGCCCTTTCTTTACTTTTCACTTTTCGCGCGAATGTGCTTTTCCCCGCTAAAATGTTTACTTTGTAATTTTATATTAAGGAGCTTCTTTTTTATTCATTTTAATGAACTCGTCTCTGAAAAAGAAAACCTATGTGCAGAAGGAATTGGAAAAGGGGTTAGTTAAGTACTTCTTTTCTTTCCTCTCAAATCAAAATGAAAGATAAAGTTAGTCCCTTTCGTTGTTCTTCATCTATAATGAGAGATCAAGTTAGTTTTAAGTCTATATAATTAATATAATATATATAATTAGTAATAACTATCAAATTCATATATATATATATATATATATATATATGTATATATATATATAAGATTTTTATTAAGTGTTGCGTAAAATAAAAGAATATGTAACATGATTAGTTTTATTGCACAAGTGTTGCATATTAGTACAAATACGGAACATAATTTATTGTGCGCCTAATTTGTGTTGCATAATTTATGTATTAGGCAACACATAATGATAGTGTTGTCTATATATATTTTATGTGACACTTCTAAAAAGTGTTGCAGAACAAGTGTTGCGTAAGGCCACTTTTCCTGTAGTGATTCACAATACATAATTTTCTATGTATTAGGAATACAACATGGATTATGAATACATGCATTCTGTTATTACATCAAGTCAAAAAAACGTTATATTCTGCAGGATACACGTATACTGAGAATACAACGACTGAAATCAGAGGTTCCAAACGAGACCTTAATTTATAGACATTATGGATGTTTTTATCCGAAATAGTTGGATAATTTAAATTTGATTGACTCATATATACAACGTAAATCATTACAACAACGTTGAGTACATGTTAACATTAATAGTTGGCAAAATTATGATAAGAGGAGACAATGATTGTTTTCTTAAAATTTCTACGATGAACATTGGAGGAGTTTGCATTACTCGTTTTGAGTTGGCTAGTATTGTGTACATTTTTAAGATTAATTGGTACGTAGCTCGAGACTAGTTAAGTTCTTCTACAGGAACTGAGTCCTTAGAAATTCAAACAGGCTTTAATGGTTATTGATTTACTCAGTATCGTAGCCAAAATTTTATTTAAGTGGTACATTAAAAAGATATCATAAAATTATTTTTGAACAATAACCATTATGAAGTTTCATGTTTCATATTACAAATTATTTTAGGCAAAATACTCTTGTATAGCCATAACTTTCACGTTTTTGACAAATATAGCCATATCTATTCGAAAACACGAAATAGCCAAAAAACGGAGGGTAGTGTGACAAATCTAGGCAGTTCCGTTAGAAACTTTAACACCGTCTGTGACTCCGTTAAATCGTTTGACAGAACGCTGACGAGGACGAAATCCGACCTCCACATCAGCAACACATCAACCAAATGTACACGTGGAATGCCACGTCCATAAAGAATTAAAAAAAATCCAATTTATTTGTCGACTTCCCTTCCCTTCCTCCGCCATCAACCAATCTCTCAGCCGCCCAAACTAAAACAAAATCTCCATCCAAATACAGAGCCCTTCTAATAATCACAAACCCAAAACAAATCCTCCACACAACCATTGCGCCAGAAAACCCCCAAAAATTATCTCTATTATTCTTACCAAGAACCCTTCCAATCAACTTAAATCCCCTTTTCTTCTCCCAAATCTCCTTCCTCATAGTCATATCCTCGTCCAATTCCTCCAACCCCACTCCTTAATTAGATGCGTCGGCGAGATTGCTTTTTCGATGGAGGACGAGGAAGTTGCGTATTAGCCGTCGGTGGGAGTTTTCGCGACAAGCTAGGAGAGGAGTTTGGCGAGCGTGGAGGACGATCTGGGGTTGAGCTTGGGGTCGTTTTCGTTGCTTCGTTGGGATCGGCAGGGGTGTTCGGGGAAGCAAGGGGAATCGACATACCCCCTAATCCAGATCCGTCCATTTGCCCTACTCATGCCTCTCTGTCTTTGCTCACACAAACCAATCTCGCTCCTCCCTCTCCATAACATATCTGCTCAGATCTGCTAGTGTGTTGCTCGTTTGCTGCTCTCCAAGAACATCCATCGACCACAACAAACAGAGAGGTGGACGTTCAGCAATCGCAATCCACCACCACTATTGCTCCCGTCCTGCGACCCGCGCTCCAACTGCCACCGTCGCTCCTACCGACGCACCTGCTACCCGTACTCTGCCTCTCTGCTTCACTATCTTGATTAGCCGACTAGATTAGATAGAGAGAGAATGCATCTAATTAAGGAGTGGGTTTGGTGGATTGGCGGTGGAGGAAGGGTCTGTAGCGGCGAGATGATCGGAGGTGGGTTTACAATTCATCTTTGTTTATTGGGTAGGGAAATGGATGAGCAAAGTTAGAGGGAGAGAGCTTGGAAAAGGTAGGTAGGTTACAGAGAGAGCTGCTGGGAAAGTGGAATGATTTTGGGGAAATATATTTTTTTTTTTTTTTTGCGATTTTGGGGAAGGAAGGTAGGTTAATGTTTATGTATTTATTTTTCTTTTTCTTTTTGTATTTTCTTTCTATTAATCCACGTGGATGGGTGGGTCAATAAATCGCCAACTCAGCATTTTTCGTCAGTCTAGTCACACCGTTAACTGACACCGTTAAAAGAATGAACGAAATTGACTATTTTGTGTTTTCAAATAATTATGGCTATATTTGTCACAAACGTTAAAGTTATAGCTATGGAAGTGTATTTTGCCATTATTTTAAAATTACATAATTAGTCGAATTATTAAGATTTTTTTTAATGTTATCTCACCATATAATCATTCACAATTTCATTTCACTCATTAGACTGGTTAACTATCCCATTACAAAAAAATATCTACTAACATGTGTATTGACAAAAGGTAGTAGTAAACTAAATCTAATTTCATAAGCACATACATTGATGGGAACTAATTTTCTCTTATGACTATCATTTTCATAGAAAGTTACTGATTTTCGCTAATAATTCCCGCATCATACCCATCTTGATAAACTGTATAAATGTAGATATTACTAGGTTAAATTAATTTATATAATCGATCATGGAATCCACCGCATCATACCAATCTTCATAAACTGTATTAGTGTAGATATTAGTAGGTTAAATTAATTTATATAATCGATCATGGAACCACCTTGTTAGGGGCTAGCTCCACGGCTGGATTTACTCATTGTGAAATGACAACAATTTCAAGATAACTTCGAGTTTAATGCAATTTTGATTTAACCATAACACAAATTTCTGAAAAAGTCACCTTACTATTATTATTTATACACATATTTTTGTTTTCAAAATCAAATATCATTTTGCATATGAAATTTAGATAGATCGAAATATATGGATGCCAACTAAAATTCCAATTCAAACTCACCAGACTCATGCAAGTTTATGCATGGCTGTCCTATATTTAGAGTCTAGACCCCCACAATGAACGAAATCCCATAACCCTCCAAATCCATATCAACGCCATAGAATGAGATCTCTCCTCTTCTCATTCCTCGTCTTCTCCACGCTCTTCTTCCTCCCTGTCCGCTCCGACGATGTACGTAATTAGCCACTAATCTCCAACTGATCATCTGTTTCTCTTATTCACGATCGATTCTCTCGTTGGGGTTTTTGTTTTTTTTTTAATTACATCATATGCAGGAGGAAGACAGCGAATGCGTCTACACATTCTACGTCAAGACCGGATCCGGGTTCAAATCTGGGACCGACTCCAAGATCAGTGTCTCGATCGGCGACCCGACGGGCCGCTCCGCCTGGATCCCGAACCTCCAGCAGTGGGGGCTGATGGGCCCGGGCCACGACTACTACGAGCGGGGACACGTGGACATCTTCAGCGGGCGGGCGCCGTGCATCGGCGCTCCCATCTGCCGCCTCAACCTCACCTCCGACGGGTCTGGGTCCCACCACGGGTGGTACTGCGACTACGTGGAGGTCACCTTCACCGGGGCCCACAAGCAGTGCCGCCAGACCATCTTCTACGTGGATCAGTGGCTGGCCACCGACGCTGCGCCTTACAGGCTCACGGCGCTGCTCGACGGCTGCGGGCGGTGGACGTCGGAGGGGGCCAAGGAGGTGGAGGCAGGGAATAGGCTTGGGAATGTGGGTGGCAGGTTGGTCGTTGGGAATCCGCCACCGGCGCCGGTGGTAGAGTTATCTGCTTCAGCCTGAGGTTACGGGCCGTCAAGCTGGCCGGTTTTCATTACTCACAAGCGAAGGACTAGTGAATTTTGTGTTCTTACTTCAAGTGATTATTTTGATCCGCCAAAAGCATGAGCATTTTTATAAGTTGTTTATTGGTTGCTAGAATTTTGTTTTGAGAAGTCTCCATTTTGCTGGCAAATTTCATATATAAAACATATATAGCTCTATCTATAAGGTTTTGAGGATTGTCATTGCAATCCTCCCTCTAGCGAAGGACTACTGTCCTTCCCTCAACTTTGTGTCCTTACCATATGCTGATCTCCATTAATTTGCTAAATAGATACATATTTCGAATTTCGAGCTAATCATATCCACACAACTAACAGTTCACCTCTCTGGTTCAGACTCTGAAATCGGACTTTGATACTACTTGTTGAGACCATGCGCTTCATTTTTAGTACGGTATTATCTCATTATAGTCAACACTACATAGATTTATTATTGAACACCGTGCTAAAAGGCCTCACACTAACGGAGTTAGGTGGACATTTATATGAAAGGAATATTCCTCATATATTTTCGAAGTAGTACTTAGATTGCATCCAAGAATCTTCATTTATAATAATAAGTTGGGGGACTTGTGTTTTTATTGTCTAAATGCTTGTTTCGCTCCTAAAACATTTACAACTATTCAAGTGATCCCTTTGTTGGTGCTTTGTTGGTGCTTTCAGTAGCTAAATGTTGACATGACATGAGGAAATCTTTGGTGAAGTGTGAGGCGTGCTTTATGGATCCAAGGTTGTGGATTCTTTTGTGGGAGTTCCCGATACCTCTATATGCTTAAGATTTCCCTAGGGAAGCTTCTTGGCCTAATCCTTTAAAATACAGAGGTTTTGTTGCTTCCCATCCCTGAGCGATGTCTTGTTCATTGGTTGGAATCAAAATCGTTGGAGTATGTCTTCTTGTTTTGCATGCTGGCAACAACTCTATGGGAGGCCTTGGGCCTATTGTCATATTCGACCTGGTTGTGGATCCAAAATTAGCTATATATCTTCTTTATGCAATTTCAAAAGCATGACTCCTCACCATCTCGGGTGGTGAGGGTGGCTTGCTTATTATGGTGTATTGGGAATGATAGAAATTGAGTGTTGTTTGAGTTATTAGTCTTGTTTTGCATGGTGGCAACAACTCTGTGGGAGGCCTTGGGCCTATTGTCATATTCGACTGGGTTGCAGACCCAAAATTAGCTATCTTCTTTATGCAATTTCAAAAGCATGACTCCTCACCATCTCGGGTGGTGAAGGTGATTTGCTTACTATGGTGTACTTGGAATGATAGAAATTGAGTGTTGTTTGAGTTATTAGTGTTGAGTAATATACTTTGGGCTTTGGCCCAACTTCCCATATGTGATCTCAACGGTATGGGTTAAGCTAGGGTTGGCCAAGTTTAGGAGCTAGGGTTTATTATTCTAGTTTGTATATATATGCTTGTAACCAGACTCGTTGAAGCTAAGCCGAATAAGAGGACACAATAGTTTCGATCGTGGACTAGTCTCGTTCATACTAAACAAGGAAACCACGTAACTCTTTGTGTCGATTTACATTTTCTGTTTTGATATTCCGTTAAGATTAACATGGTATTAGAGTCTATCTTTTGAGCAGATTACAGCTCATCTCAACTCCAAGAATTATGTCGTTTGGGAGTTTCAGTTTCAGATGTTGATCGAGGGAAAGGGGCTCCTGGTTGGCTCGACGACACGTCTGGACGACCAACGTCGCCTCCTTCTTCTGCGCGGGAGGTCTCGCAATGGGTGGTAAACGATGCTAAGGTTCGGACTCTGCTTCTCAATTCGGTTGATGGCTCTATTATTTTGGGACTCAGTATATGCTACCTACTGCAGATGTGGAAATATCTTGCCAATACGTATCACACTAGGACCGCTTCTCATCAATACGAGATTGAGGTGGAGTTGGCTGCGCTCCATCAGGGCACATGGATGTCACCTCCTACTATAATGCGGCACAAAACCTATAGACATAAAATGATCTCGTCGCTGCTTCCCTCCTCAACTTAGCTGGATCGGCGGAGGTCAAGGCTGAACGCGAGAGGCTACGGTTGATGCACTTCCTCATGCGGCTCAATCAAGACTATGAGCCGATCTGTGCTACCTTGATGAATCGCGAGATCTTAAAGTTGAAGGAGTGCTTGCCTCGTTGATTCAAGAAGAAACACGTATCCGCACTAACGTTGTGCTCGACGTGCACCCGAGGAAAAGAGAAGGGTCGGCGGTTTTTAGTGTGGTTTCTCAACCCCAGCGGTTTTTAGTGCGGTTTCTAGCAAGCTATCTAATTCGCATGATGATGCGGCGTATGTAGCTCATCGTGCTTCATTCCAACATCGTGTTAATTCTACTGATGTTCAGTGTTTTCATTGTAAGGATAAGGGTCATACTAAGAAGTACTGCAGGATAAGAAACTTTTGTGTCTACTGCAACAAGACGAGACATATTATCCCGGATTGTCCAACTCTTGAAGGAAGGAATTGGGAGGCAAATGGACGTGGAGGTGGTCGTGACGGTGGTTCCTCTTCACGTCCAGCCTATGCTATGCATCCGGTGCAAGGCCCATCTGGTTCGGAGAATCTTGTGGTGTCTCCGGCAGCTCTTAAACAACTAGTGAACAAGGCCATTTCTTCTGCGTTCGCCAGTCTTCAGGTTTCGGGCAAGCTTCCTACCTGGATACTGGATTTGGCTTGTTTTAATCATTTGACTAGTGATGATTCGGTTCTTAAGCAACTATGCCCTATTGATAATGTTTCCTTACAAGTTGTTAATGGAGAGCAATTGCATGTTTCTGGCATGGGTTATGTGCATAGTTCTGATATTGTTCGACCATCGACATATCATGTTGTGTTTTGCACCTTCTAACTGTGTTGTTCATAATCAAAAGACAAGGAGGGAGATCGAGCGGGGTAGCAAATAGGGTTGGATATTTTATCTTGAGCAACTTCGTCCTCCATCCTCATGGTCATCGGTCATAGCTTCTTCAGATTCCTTTTCTCCTTTTTTCCGAGTCTTTCTTATCAAACTTTTAAATTGCGGCATGCTCGGTTGGGTCACCCAAACTCTCATCATCTTGTGACCATGTTTAAACAACAGTTATTTGGACATGTTACTTTGGTTCTTTCTTCGTCGGATTTTTCTTGTACTAGGTGCATTGAGGCTAAGACTACTCGCGTATCTTTTGCATCTAGCCTTACTGTGATTACATAACCATTTCACTTGATGCATGTTGATCTTTGGGGGCCTAGTCCTGAAACTTCCCGACTTGGTTTTAAATATTTTGCCCTATTCATTGATCATGCAACTAGATACACGTGGGTCTATTTTCTCCGATTGAAGTCCGATCTTTTATCTGTTGCCACCAAGTTTCTTGCCATGATTAAGACCCAGTTTGATAGGATTGTTCGTGTAGTCCATTCCGATCCAAGTGGAGATTTTATTTTTGGTTCCTAACTAGGTTTGTATAAGTCTCTTGGTATTTTGTCTAAAAAATCATGTCCTGGCGTGTCTCAACAAAATGGTTTAGTTGAACGAAAAAATCATCATGTCCTAGAGGTCAGTAGAGCTCTCCTTCTCTCCTTGTGTGTCCCTTCCTCTATTTGGCCAGAAATTGTCGCAACTGATGTTCTTCTAATAAACTACCAGATCACTCATGTCCTTGAACACAATAGCCAATATTTCCATCTTTTTCGTAAACCACCGCCCTATTCCCGTCTTCGTGTCTTTGGCGGCGTCTGCTTTGTTCTCCTCTCCCAGTCTGAACGTACCAAGCTTACGTCCAAAACTTCTCGTTGTTGTTTTCTTGGATACAGTGACATCCATAAGTGTTATCTGTATTATGATCCCGAGCTCCGTCGTGTCCGCATTGCATGTCATGTCGTCTTTGTTGAAAACTTCATGTATCATTGCTCACCGTCCACATATGAACCCCCTCTTTCTGACATGTCTCTTGCTCCTCCTTAATTTGCCTAGGATGATGAGGATGGATTACTTGACCCCCTGGATGTTCCGCTACCCCCCGACTCCCCTCCTCCAGCCGGCCCAAACAGGTCCAGCTCCTCATCCTAGTCCTCCGATAACGACGAGTCACCACCTCCTTCACCACCAGCAATGCTTCCTCGGCGTTCTATTCGTACAACCTTAGGATACCTAATTCTCATACCCAATCTCAACGCTCCCGCGCTAGCTCGCCCAAACGCGGATTTTCTGCGGAACGTCTAAAATTCGTGAATTGTTTATTACAAGAGCGCAAATTATTGAAGAAAGAGCACGGATTGCTGGCGAGTGGCTACTATCACATCCTTTTCCAATTGATCAATAGACAATAGGGAAGAACACAAATACTTTCTTCGTTCCGGAGGAACAGAGGAAGCAACGTAGTAGCAGTTAAGGGGAGCTGAGTGAGGAAGGAGAGAAGGGTATTGCTAGCGAAAACAGAAGAGGAACCCAAGGCATGGGCAGTTAATTGGGGGGAGATGAGCTCGCGGTGGCAGGAGCGAAGGAAGGGAATCAGAAATCAAAGAAAGCAAAAACAGGAGAAGAGGACTGCAGGTATCGGAGACTGAGGATGAGGATAGAAAGATAAGTAGGGCTGGCAGTCGGTTTCGGTTTAACCAAAATCCGAAATCTTGGTTATCGGTTGAACCGAGACAGGACCAGCTGCTGCCGCCACCCGACCGCCGTCCAGCCTCAGTTAGCCACAAACAACCGGCCGGTTTTCGGTTTCGGCGCGGTTTAACCGGGGCGACCAAAAATGAAGACCGGTTCGGCTGACACCTATAACCGACCGACCAGCAAGAAAAAAAACTGAAATCACCTAAAAATAAAATCTTAAACCTACATTTCAATTCCTTTTGCATCGAAAATACATCTAAAATTAGCAACTTAATGTCTCACATTCATTAATTCAACAACATAAACTCCACAAATCACAATAGATCCTCCAAATAGCAACAAATCAACAACACATCATCATCTATCATCACTTATCACCAGCCTTAGAAGAACCAACATGTGCATAACCCTATTCATTCAATTGGGGCAACAAGTCATGACCATAATCGTCATATCCATCTTTCTTATACTCTTCCTCCGGAACTTCTTCTTCACCCTCCTGCTCATTCTGCACTGGA